AGCGGGTGATGGTATCAGTATCACTTGGCGTAGAGAGAAGGAAATGAAAGTCTCGCATAAACAGCTTCAGTTTTCTTGATAAAGTTGGTGTAGTTACCACCAAAGTAAGGATTAACAAAGGTTGGGATCTCGTGAATGGAAAGGTTTAGACCTCTTCTATGGGAATAAGGGTGGCAGTGTATGCTAGGCCTCCCCGGTGAGTGGCCAGGTGGGTCTGTCTCTTAGGAAAATAATGAAGTTGGTGAAATCTGCCTTGTGTCTCTTTGAGGGTCTTCTGCTTTTTCCTCTCCTCTCCTAATGAACACTATATTTAGCTAGCTGTTTAATGGGAAAGCTTATAATAGGCTTGTATATACTAAGGTGAAAATGACTGATGATAAATTAATGTGTTATTATTTTCGGGGACACTTGCATTTGAGCAGGGGGCCATCCTCAGTGTAAAAGAGTAATAGATGCTTAGGTACCCTGACAGGTTAGGTCAATGGTTCCTGTCCCAGGGACCTGAAAGAATGATTGCAGCTGGTCTGCAAAAGCATATGCATATCAAGAATTATCCATGGACATAATCGAGAGTGTCTCACAGGCGTATGTACTACTGTTTTTAAAATGTATATATGTGCTTCTCTAATGGATAAAATATAAATTAACAGTATTACTAAATTTATAAAACTTCATTACTGTTACATGTTTTCTCGATCCACAAATACGAGGAGTCTTGCTTCTACCCTTTGAGGAACCTCATCCTGAATTGTGCTCACTCTACTGGAGGGTCACTACATTGCAGTGCGAATGGAGCGCTTACACATAGGCCATTGTACACACAAGCCACAGTCAGGGGCGCCTGCGTGTAGCTCCTTGAGGGTCTTGGGAATTGGGGAAATCTCTTGAGTAAAATGTTTGGTACAGAACTGTGTTTGTTGACTGTTGCCCCTTATTTTTGTTGTTCAGGCACTGTAGGCAAACACTGCTTCAAAGTAGTTTTTCAGAAGTGGTTGAGAATGATTCACTGACACTTTAAATCTTCTTAATTTTTAAACTGTTGTTATCTCTTAGAATATCACTAGAAATGAGATTGGCACTGACATTTCCAAACCTGTTGTCTCTTGCCTGAGAGAGAGTTAGTCCTTTTTTTGAGCCTTCTTTATCCTGGGGGTTGTGACAACTATTTGAGTTGTCCCATACACTGCCCATGACATTCTGTGTTCTTGTGTGTCTTGGATGTCTAAAGAAATGCTTTTTTTCCTAATACATACACACACACACACACATACACACACACACACACACACACACACGGAATTTAGTTGGTTAAGAACAAGATGCTAAAAGCCTTAAAACATTTTTCTTTTAAAGAAGTAATACCTGTCCTCTCTATCCTTATTTACTCTGCTCCCCTGCCTCCCGCCCTGCCCTGCACAGATAGGCCAAAGATTACGTAGCACTTTAAGCTAAGTTGCATTATAACAAATTACAGTACTAGCACAGTTCAAATTAATTACATTTTACTTTATTTGGTTACAGAGGGACTAACAGACACTTAGGAACTTAATATCGCTTGTGAATTTCATTACTAAACTGCAGTTTTTAAAACATGATTTGATCTTTCGTTGCCATAAATTGAAATTGAAAAGGCTCACGATTATATTCCATTTGAATCCAGGTTTTTTTACTGAGGCGTTTATTTAAGCTTTAGGGATATTTTTTTCTTTATTATTGCTGATTAATTAAGGTTTTTATTACAGCTTCATTGAAATTGATGTATAATAAACTGCAAATATTTAAAGCACACGATTTGATGACTTTTGTCACATGTGTACTGTGAAGTCATCAGCACAGTCAAGGTGATGACCTGTCCATCACACCTATCCATCACCAAAGTTTCCTTGGGCCACTCTGTAGTCCCTCCTTGCCCATCCCCTGCCCCCTGCAGGTAACCACTGGTCTGCTGGTTTGCTTTCTGTCACTAGAGATTAGCTTGCATTTTCTAGAATTTTATATGAATGGAACCACAGTCTTTTTATTGTCTGGTAATATTGATGTGCATGTCCTTTTAGTTCCAGTTCAGACATCATAAGAGATCTTCTAGAAGAAGAGGAAGCCTGGGAAGCATCACATAAGTGAGTTCTCATAATCACGAAATAAGCATGTACTTTGATGTGATAAATTATAATTCTATACAGTTGATTTTCAAACCAAAGAATATTTGTGCTTACTGACTTAAGCAAGTAATAATTCACAAAAATCAAGGTAAAGATTTCCAGGTCACTACTTGTTTCTGTATATTTCTGCTTAGAAATGGAATCTTAGTGTAATAACTCCAGTTACTTGTCAGAAGTTGTTTTTCTAAAGATAAATTGTTCCAATGGGCAATTAATAGTCAGGAATTAACAGTCGGGCCTTAAGCACTGGCTTAGACTCTTTAGAAAACTTTTAATCCTTTCCTAAATGTTGCCAGTCATAAGACTGTAGTACAGCTGGGCAGATTTGTTCCACTAAAATTTCATGAAGCTCACATACCACAAGTGGGCCCTCAAAACTGCCTAGCACTTTTACTGTTTCTGTGATTATTTCTTTATTTTGTTCTTCACAAGGATTACTTGAACCCTTCTCAATTCTTTTCAGTGGCTCCAGCCTAGCTGAAGACCTTTTCTCTTCCTTTGTAGAGAAGATAGAAGCCATTGTATAGGAATCCTCATCTTTCCAACACCAAGTGTATAAATCTGCCTGTTTGTACATATTTTATCCCTCCTTTTATAATTTCTTCATTTTATAATAAAGGGCTGCCTCTTTATTATAGAGTCTAGTTTGTCCTACCTCATTCCTACCCTCTTGTCAGGAATGTTACCCATTCTCTCTTCTCTCGTTTAGGCATCTCTCTCTCTCTCTCTCTCTCTCTCTCTCTCTCTCTCTCTCTCTCTCTCTCTCTCTCTCTCTCTCTCTCTCTCTCCCCCTCCCTCCCTCCCTCCCTGAAGACCTCTCTGAAGACCTCACTGAAGACCTCACTGAAGACCTCTGTGTGGCTCAGTCCAAAGGACAACTTTTTAGACTTCATCTCCTTTGACTTCTTAGCAGCATCTGATGTTCTTGACATCTTCACCTTTCTGAAAGCCTCTCTGAGGCTGAAAGAGGTTAAATCTCCATCCAAGGTCACTTAGCAATAAGTGATAAGTGATGGAGCTGAGATTTTAATCTATGTCAAAATTCAGCTCTATGGACCATTAAGCTAAATTGTCTTTCCCAAGAATGAGGTTTCTTGTGCTGACATTCTGTAGTATTGTAGCTGAATCACTGGGAGAATGGAAAAGTGTGGTATATCCAGGGAAAGCATTATGAGTAGGTTTATCAGGCCAATGAGATATTTGGCGGCTCAAACAATAGCGTTTTATGAAAGTTTGAGATTGTGGCTGCATTAGTCTCACCTAAGCATTATTGAACTTTGAATTCTAGGAGAGGAGGCCACTCGTTAGCTAACTACTTCCTCTTGTACCAGGAATCCCCCTGTTTATGCTAAACTAAACCCTGACGTCAATGGCTATGACAAGCTGTAGCCCAAAATTCCTGAGTCCAAGCCCATTCTTGGCAATGATGACCTCTTAAAGTCATTATTATAAGGAATCACTTAGAAAACAAATCCCACCGCTTGATCCTCACAGATAATAAATGTTAAAGCTGGAAGGATGTAAGTGCTCATCTAGTCCAGTCCCTTCATTTTATAGAGAAGGAGGCTGAGCTCCAGAGAGGTAAGTTGATGAGGTTGAGGTCCACAGCTAGTTAGTGGCCTGCTGGGGTAAGAATTCAGGCTTCCTGGTTTCAGCCAAGTGTAGAGCAGTTTAAACCAGCTTGTGCCACAGTGTAGCTTTAGAAGCAGAATCAGGAAAAGGCTGCACAGCTTTACTTTTCAACAAAATGTGACCGTTCTACAAATACCCATCTTAAGCTTACAGGCATTTTGTGGTACCACAAGTGGCATATTTGAGATATTAGTCCTAGAACATACTATTTCAGCCCCAACACGTTCTCCTAATTCCATAGATGATTGAGAGGTCCTATTAGCAACACAATGCCCCCATATAAAGCAGTATTTTCATAAGCAGCAAAAAAACCCAAAACAAAACCCGATACAAAACCCTGTTTTCTGCAGACTGGTCTTGGGTTCTTATATCTGTGCATATTGGTTCATCTTACCATTTTGAGCTACAGGATATATTTACGTTGAACAGAATGAAAATAGGAAGAAAAATGGTCCAGGTCAATCATTTCACGTTTCCAGATTTCATCTTCCTTATCCGTAAAATGTGGGGAATGTCTCCTCGGAGGGTCTGAGTCCCTCCTCTCCTGACCTGCTGCTCTTCCACTGTCCCCTCCCTCAGTGAATGGTAGTATCACCGTCTGCCCCACTGTTCCAGCCAGAAACCTAAGAGTCATCTTCAACGTCTCATTCTCCTCCTTACCTCTCACCTGCAGTGATTGTGAGGTCCTATAGGTAAGTGGTCCTCAGACTTAAATTTACATCAGGATCACTTGGAGGACTTGTTAAAACATGGATTATTGGGCTCCACTCAATCCTGTGATCAGGATTCAGGAGATTTGGGCTGGGGCTCAGGAGTTTACATTTTAGCACGCTCCCCGGTGTTGCTGGCGCCGCTTCTGGGGCCCCGCGTTGAGTAGCGGGGCTGTGGACGACCCCTGAACTGTCTCTTTTGGCCCCTCTGTGCCACGGCCTGCGCAGGCCCTTCGCTCTTCTCTCTGGCTTCCTACCACAGCCATCCAGCTGCCTCTCTGCCTCTAGTCGGTACGCTTCATTCTGCCCATGAGATCTAAAATACGCTGTGCTCTCTCTGTGGTAAAGTCCTGCAGGGACTCACCAGCATCCAAGGCTCTTCCATCCATGGCCCCAGCCTACCTGCTGGCTCCTGGACTGTCCTTCCTCCCCTCCCCGCCCCGCCTTGTTGCAGTCTGGCTGAACTACTCACATTGGCTTCAAAGTCATGCTGCCTTGTACCTGCTGTTGCTTCCGCCTGAGTTGCGTTTTCCCCTTTCTTCAGGCGGGAGTTGTCGTTCCTTCCTTCCCAGCTCTTCTCAGAAGCCCCTGGCTGCTCCCCTGATCCCGCAGCAGTGGGCGCTTACCACCCGACGCGCTTCCTAGAGCAGATGTTCATTATACCCCACGCCCCACACGGTGCCTGGGGGGACCCATGGTGGGCGCTCAGTAGGCGTATGAGGGATTGAGTATGTCAGTCAGTATTCATTGGATCTGAACACACTCCCTGGTGGATTCTAGCTGTTAGTGACACGGCTTACGTGGCTTCAAGAACCTGTGAAAGGATGAGGATTGCCACTTACAAATCTTTTTTAAATCCTTTATCTCTTAGTGCCTTAAAGATCTTTTTTTAGAGAATAGCTTTTTCTAGTATTATAAAATCAGAAAAGGAAGAATCATTTTCTCTATTGATAATCTGCATTTCATCCTAACACCATGAGAAGTCATTTGCAGTGTGCTCATGAGCCCATCACATTTTCTAAGGGAGGACTATTAATAATTTGGCTGTCTTTCTTTGGAGGAGTGAACTTTATTAACTGTTACTTATTAATAACTATTATTAATGTATGCACATCTTAAGTGTACAGCTTGATGAATTTTTACAACTGAATACCCCTGAGGTTAGGGTTACTTTGGTGGCCCCGGTGAATCGCGCGCCTCCAGTATTCACACTCCTGAGGCCCACGTTGATTCTGGGTTTGGCCATGTGATGTGAGAAGTTTGGTAAGCGTTTGCACAGTGGGGCTTGTCCTTTCCAAACACTCACTTTTAGGATGATGATGCTTGGACCCAGCCTCTCTGCTGTGAGAAGCCCATCCCGGGCATGGAGGGAGGCCAGCTGGGGGAGAACGGAGGTCCAGCCCTCCCTCCAGCCGAGCTCCCAGTCAACAGCCAGCTCCAGCTTGCCCCCATGTGAGTGAGCCTTCCTCACAGTGGATCCTGCAGACCCAATTAAGCTGTCTGTTCTGAGCCCTGCCCAGATCTAGAATCATGACCAAATAAGGGATTGTGCTATTTCATGAGAATGTAGCAGTAGATTACCAAAACAAATTGAACAGAAAGTTTCTGTTTAGTTTTTAATTGCCATGTAGCAAATCACCTGGAAATTTACCAGCTTAAGCCACAGCCATTTCATTTGCTTATGATTCTTCAGTCTGGGCTGGCCTCAGGCTGCTGGTGGTTATTTATGTGGCACGTAGCCAACTGGCAGGGCGGCTGGAGGTGATGTTCTGCTAAGGTGCCTGGACTTCTCTGTCTTTCCCTGTAGTCTGGGAGCCTGTTCTTCTCCATGTGGTTTCTCCGCATGGTCTCTCCATGTGGTCTTTCCAGCAGGATAGCTGGGATTTTGTATATGGAGGCTCAGGGCCCCTGTGCCAGTTATCAGTTTACTGCCTCAGCTCCAAATTCATCCTTTTTGCCTGCTCTGTGAAAACTGAATCGGGCCCTTTAGATATCTTTCCTTTGCCGGCTCTCCTGATGTTAAGCTTTATCAGTAGAGGGCACTGGAGAGACATTGCAGGAAGAAGGGGTTTTGCCTCTTGGTTGCAGGCCTTCCCCCAGTTCCTGGTCCTACAGTGTACCCTGGCCAGCAGCTCATTGCTCTGACTCAGTTTGCCACAGCCATGCCCTCTCCACACAGGTGTCTGGATCTGTCTGGGGAGAGGGCTCTTCCTGGGGTGCTGCAGCTCAACCCTGAGTAGCAGCTGTTCCTTATTTCTACTCTTTCTATAATATATTCTTCAGGATTCTCTTTCCTTCTTACTAGCCAACCCCTCGTTACTCCAGTCCTCTGTTACAGTTAGTAATTCTTTATACTAAACTTTTATGTTCAAGTTATCATGGTCCTGATTGGACCCAGACTGATACAGCTCCCAGGAGGTGCAAATACAAAATTCTCTTAGCCTTCATAAGACTTAGTCCTGAAACTTGTGCTGTATCACTTCGGCCACATCCTGTTGGTTAAAGTAAGTCACAGGGCCAGCCCCAGACGATAGGGAAGGGGATTGCACAAAGGCAGGAGGTGTGGATCATGGGGGGCCACCAAGGTCACCACCCAGATGTGCATGTGGAACATTC